GGGGAAGTTGTAGAGAAAGTAGACGGGTTTTGCTATCTGGGCAGCTATATCTTACCTGGAGGACACATCACAGATGAAGTGTTAGCGCGCATACAGAAAGCTCGGTTGGCATTTGCCAACTTGAGACATCTGTGGCACCGTCGCGACATCCGGTTGTCTGTGAAGGGTCGAGTATACGCTGCAGCAGTTCGGCCAGTTCTGCTTAACAGCACAGAGGCTTGGCCATTACTGGAACAGGAACACCGCTGTCTGAGTAGCATTGCACGAACCTGGTGGGAAAACCGGATGGGTTCAGGTTAGGCGCAGAATTTAGGTATTTGCAGCCACCCACTTGAATAGGTAGTAGACCTCCATTGATTACGCTGGTTGGGACATGTACTACGCATGTCATTAGATAGGTTGCCACGGCGAGCGATGCTTGCCGAGGCAGGTAGCAGTTGGAAAAAAATGAAGAGCGATCAAGCTCAGACCTGGCATGACGGTATGAAACCCCTGACTAGGAGACTGGGTCACATAGGTCCCGTTAGGCTCCTTGGATGGGGACCCAGAGCTCATGATCACCGATGGTTAGAGACACTGAGCGGCATGGTTGGATGTCGCAAAAACGGTGGCGCTCATGCATCCACTCATCATTCTTGGTACTTCAGTCTATGTAAATGTGCGATTTACCACTTGAATCTGCTCTCCACATTCTATTCATCATTCTGATGTTTTATCCAAACGGGCAACCAAAAACGGCGCACGTAAGTGCAGATACTGTGCAATGAGAGAATACATCCTATGAAAGAATCACTATGTCCCTCCTCTTGAAAACGAGAAACGTCGGTCATGTTTGTATACTTTTCTTCTCCTTAGGGTCTAAATGCGAAGTCATAGTTATGGTTCGTTTTTATTTACCGGCTATATTTCACACACGTAGTTCAGCAAGGACGAAAGGTAGTTGATACGACTAGTACCTAGCATGAAATTTGATTTCTTTGCCGATCTTTAATTTTTAATAACCAATGACTGTTTGTTAAATCGATTTCTGACCACACAAAAATCCATTAAGGAGCATAAGTAAAGTATACCAACAAGTCTATATGACTTATATAAACATACTTTTCGGATACCGGAGTTCCACTCTGTCAAAAGATATGTGGTGTTTCCCGTGATTTCAGGGTACCGATTGCACTATTTATTGTTTACGGTGCAATTCAAATTTGTTGTTAACTGGACTAGGAATCGTGCTCTCCTTGATTACCTGGGAGGGGTCGTAGTTTAGACTGACTAACTGGACCGTGGATCTCGACTTTGCAGAAGACATCGTCATTCTCAGACGCCCCGAACAATTTGTAATCGAGCCACCAACACGTTACCGCTTCATGAAAAGTTCTGTAAGAGGCGAATATGTGCAAAACCAAGGCTATTTCGACCATGGTGGTTCTGCCTAAAGATTCAGTTATAAACAACCACAAAGCATTGCAGAGTACCAGGCTTGGATTAGCCTATTCGATTGTTCACAGGCACCAGGCACACCTGACGATCAAGGTTTGAGTCTCGACAGGGACACAAACAGCATGCAGTGCTGATGCGCCCGAAACAAGACGAAACAGCTGTCCAGTACTCATTGTCGGTCATCACAAAACTTTTACACCACAAAGCAGTTTTCCACCCAGTCAAAAATAAATTTAGCTAGGCGTTTACGTTCCGCGAAAAGCTCTCATTGGGTTCTCGGAAAAATTGATGGTCAACAAAGGTTGTCTGGACTTCATAATAACTAATTATGATTAACAAAGCTTGCTTATAGCTTGAAACGAACAGTGAAGATCGAACAGAGTTGCGGAATCGTAATTATGTCTGATGATACACACTCTAAACTTGGTTAAACATCATGTGATATGATCCAAATCAAGTAGTCCACGCACTGTCGCGGTATATTTTGACAAAATGGACTTCATTACCAGTGAGTCTGGTGACGAACGACCTAAGGCTTACGATGGTTTACACAAAAATACGTTTTATAATGAGGGTTAGTCGAGCGTACAACCAGTTTTGGTTACTGTGAAGGTTTTACTGACAGTAAACTTATTGATGTGGTTTAATATGCCTATTCAACAGCAATCAGAGTCAATTGTGCTTTCATTCTATATTGGAATGGTATGAAAACCATTTGACAAGGAACTCCGATCGATCGAAGTTCCAATGTGTGATACACGCTGGTAAACAAATCCAAAAACGAATAAATAAACGCTTACAAGGTCCAAATCTTGATTTTTCTCTTTACATTTCCTTCGATAACGAGCAACTTCCGCCTTAAGTTGTTTGTTTTGTGTTTGTAAGGTGGATATGAGACTGCGCATTTCACTGTTGATCGGCCCGGCCTGTTCGTTGTGGGCAACGGCTTGCTTGAGGTCGAGTTCCATTGTTTCATGCTTCCGGCGAAGTTGTGAATATTGGCTCTCAATAAGCAACATTTCTGAACGCATCTGGTTCTGAATAGCTGTTTCATTCGCCTGTATGTGTATGGAGAAAACAGAGGTTGTGATTGACATGTATATGCAAAGGTTTTACCAAGGTATCGTTATTTACAGTCGATGAAAACAATTTTAACAATAAAACACGAATTATTATATTTCACACTGGTGTGGATCCAAACTATGACAAAACAAATCCCGATAAGATAAACTTTACAAAAAAGTCAGTCCATGGTTATTTATGCGCAAAATATCTCCAGATTGCTCCGACCAAGACAGGTGATTTGAAATAGGAGTTTTTGTTTGGCCAATACTTGATCTGCAAATGAGCAGAGCGGTTTGTGAAAACTCAAATTCATCGGGAGCTGTTGTCCGGTTAATCGCATCATACACCGTTTAAACGGAATCAGACTTCCAAGGTGAACAATACACCTCAACGTCCAATCAGATCGAGGACTACTTCCAAGACCTGGAAAGTGTGTGCATGAGTCTTAACTCTTCTCCACCGAATCAGGGCTATTTGCCAACACTCTCAGTCGGCGGTTTATCGACCGGGTTACAGCACAGAGTGTTGATTTCTCGTTCTCGCACTTTGCCGGGACAACTCTGACAATGGTGGTAGTTAAGCGGCTTCAGTATCTGTCGCCGGTGCATTGAGCCTTAGGGTCCGAAATTAAAACCCAATCACCACCACCTTGAGTGATAAGCAGCTTTGCTATCAGCCGGCATTACACTATGCCTAACCAAGTGAGACCTTATGTGTTTCACCACCGTAAGTCCCAGGGTTTGGGTTTCAGGTTCTTATCAGTGAATATGGGTAAACCCCTTCGGTTGTTCATTCCACAATATATGTATACATGAATATGAATGAATGCCAGTTTGCTAGATGTGCACGTAGGAAAATCTCAATGTATTTGTTGCTCCACGGGTTATTATTGATTTCTCGAAATTATCCGAATAAGTAAACTTACTTCCATTTCTTCTATATGCTTCAAATGACTATGGCGATTGTTTGTCAGCATAGTCCGAGCTTCTTCAAGTTGGTTTCTTAATTGAATCGCTTCATTGTATAAGATAGTGAATTGAGCTTTGATTGACATGTATTGAGGTGATTCCAAGATCTGATTTTCGGAAACTTGTTTTAACTGGAGGAAATAAGAATTAAGGAGCAAGACGGTAAGACTCAACGAGAATAACTCAATAACTCAAAATTGAACACCAACCTGACTAAAAACGATCAAAGTCAGTTAAATTGCAGATAGTCTAAATCAGGGATGTGCACAAAACTTAATTGGGGCAGACAGTCAACCTAATTCAGCAAAAGTGAAAAGCATAAACAAATCATATCCGCATCTACCCAGCTGCACACGGCCGAAAGGTAGCGGTTGCTCAACAGCAAAAAAATCAAAATTAATGGTCACTGATGAGATGCGGAAACTTGGGCGGGAACAGCCAAGTCAGGCATTTTGTCTGAACCTTAAAAATTTTGGTTAATGCTCACGGAGTGGGGTGCGAATTATAGTGTATTAGCTTCAAGTGAAAAATGTGGAAGTCAAATTGCAAGTGACGAGTCTACAACATGACGTAAAATCGCAAATTGTTTCAGATTGGATTGGCTTCAAATTTACAACACAAGATAATGGAACTATATGTTTACGTATCTACTCGTTTTCTCGTCGAATCACTACTGTTGTTCATCTCACCGGATTCGTTGGTATTCAATACTTTCTTCTAATTCAATGCCCATTCATTGAACGACGAAAAAAATACATGCTTCCGATGAACGACAAACCTGCATATTGAGGGCAGCACACTCGCCCACTTTGTCCTCCAATTTACGTTGAACACGCTCCAACTCCGATAGACGATTCGCGGCTAACTCCCGTAGTTCTTCTAGTTCGCAAGCAAGATCGTTGTATTTACTCCGGTTCACAGTACCGCCTGAAGATCCTGTAGTAGTGGAGTCATCATCTTGTATACAAAAATCAAAAGCAGAACGGTGATGGAATCAGGAACAAAAATATTAATGTACTATTCATACTTAGCTTGACTCAATAGAATTGAGACCATGAGCAAAAAACGGAAGAATAGCCAGCCGAAACACTCGTAACAGCAACGTCAGTGCATCCGGAAGAACGTTGCAAGCATTCCTATGGGAGTTGTCTAGATGTTTTCCGGTGTTAAATTGACGGTCTGCTACCTCGCGTGCCAAACATTTGCTTCAGAGGCTTTGGTCAGTCATCATCATTATCATCATCATCGCACAGCGAGATACAGTGAGGCGAAGTTCGCTGATCGCTGCCAAGGGTCAGTACAAAAAAACGAAGTCTGTCATTCGTGTAGGCTATTAGAAAGTATGCAGCTCACTAAAATCCTCGCTTTTATTTTATTACTTCTTACTGCTCACGAAGCCACGTTTTATCAGAGACAAAAACATCATAGCAGTTATTGTTGATCATACTGTGATTTCCTAAATAGTTGACTGTGCTCAGATTTCGAACACTATTAGATTCAACAACAGTGTTGCCAAAGTGTACAAATTCATATATGGATGTGCAAAAACGTAGCTCACTTGGTGCATCCGTGCCTTTGAAAGCAGCCAGTTCAAGTTCTAATTGTTTGTTCATCTGCTGTGCATCATACAAACGATGATCCAGACGCGTAACTTGGTTCATTGCTTGCGAAAGCTTGTAATCTAAATCTTCGTATTTTGCTTGCCATTCAGCGGCAGACTCAGAGCGTGTCTGCGCAAGATCTTGCAACTCACGGAGCTGAAAACGGATGGCGATTGAAGCAAAACCTTACAGGGTACCTAGTCTACATATATAGAGGAAAACAAAATTAACGGAAAAAGTTCGAGAATGGGATTACGAAAACGTTGTCGCATCAACGTCATAGATGAGCATGCCTCCAACCTTATGCGAATAGCGCAAAGCGGATGCATGGAGCAGTGGTGACGTCCTTCTAAGACAGATAACCTTTTCACCAGGTTTCTTCTGGAGCTAAGCCCTTTGCAGCTAAGATCTCATGAACTGAGAACTATCAGATTTTTCCTAATTGCAGCTATTCATGTTCTGATTTGAAAATTGGTCTGTAATTCGCTCAGCCAGTGATGCCTCAAGTACACCTTTTGGCTTCGTAGACATGAATATATTAACAATTGAACAATAAATTATGTACGGTTAACGGTGGATTGTACACATAGTCCATCTTATCACACCACATCACATGATCCAATCGCGAGAGGGTGCTTACGTACATAGAATCTAAAGGTTACTTATCAACTGCAAACGATTCTTACTTCTAACAAATGTTAAATTAGGCTAGGGCAAAAAGGATTTCAATTACACCTCTTATCGCAATCGTGACATTTCGGGGCGCAAATGAGATTCAACACGGTAAACTCCAAGGAGATAAATGGCACCTACCCGCAAGCTGTTTTGTCGATGTTTGGCGTGCAAACTTGTGCAAAGAGACTGTAGTCTTTGATTTTCCTTATTCAACATAGCCAATTCCTCACGCACCACATTCAATGATCCGTTATCGATCGTCTCGTTTTGTTGATCTGAAGAGGATGGAGCTTCTGAAGATCCCTCGGTGGGTCGAGATGCTGTGGAGTAACTGGAATTGTCGGGTGACCCTTTGTGTGTTACGTCATTACTCGAGGATGACGTTTCCTTTTGAGAATTATTCAACTGGCGCAAACGAGACTGTCGAGCGACAAGCCTAGGCAAATAGGAAACAAATTCCAAATTGTAGTCGTTTGTCTATTTTATCAACTGACTCGTGAAACACAGCAGCCATCGACATATGTACTAGAAGTTTTAGCGCTTCAGACTCGAAGCCATAACACACTATCGCATAAATCTCGATAAAGTCTGGAAACAATGTTCTGCAGAGTTAATGAGAGAATAACACGTGCAGATCAAACGCATTATTATTACGTTGTGTATTGATTTTAAAATCGTCGACTCCAACGAAAATACACTCAGAACAGCTGGTAGCACAGAACATCCTCAAATAATGCTGATAGGCACAAAAAATTAGAACCGGATCCCATTCACCTTCGGGCAATCGGGTTTATCATATGATTGACCAGTCTAGAAGAACTGCCGTCAACTTCTTCATTCTTTCCTGACCGAATCATTGAATGACCGCCAGGATGCTTTTTCCAACCACACTCGAAAATTAAAAAATCAAAATATTTTTGAAGTTGGTATGATTAGCGGATCAATCGGCATGGTCATCGTGGTACAGCGTAATACAGTGAAGTGAGCTTCAATGATCGCTGCCAAACTCATAACCATTACAAATGAGAATGTGTTGAAAGGATAGGGAATAGAGCCACTTTGAGGGATGGCGATCAAACTTATCCCTCGGTGGTTTGCGCACTCGTCACGAGATCCTTTTTTAAAAATGGGGGCGATTAGTGATTTACCCCAAGATGATGAAATGAGCTCTTGCGAACGGATTTTGTGCAGTAAACTGCTAATAGAGCTTACAATACTATCCTCTACCGTCTCACGCAGGAGAAAGCCTGCTCGATCCTGCTATTTTTTCTCTCTTCATGGATCGAATTTTCCTTTTGCCGGAGAATCGCAAGACACTGCCCACGAAGCTTCAGTAGCAGATGTGATCTGGTGAGCGCCAGGCCATCTGAAGTCGCGCAGCACCCAAGCGTTTGTTTGCTACCGTGAATAGTTTGTCCCTTTTCATCACAGATTGTTTCACTAACAGAGATTCGCGACCTCTCGTGCTGCGAATCACTTGGAACAGTCTTTCACTATTCTCGATACAGCGGCTACTTTCATTTACCTAGCTGTTGGTACCCACCAGTTCTTAAGGTCCTTCAGTTTTTTTCTTGAGTTGATGCTGCAGCGCTCACTACCTTTGTTTTGATCCTGATAAGTCATCATCACCATCATACAGCGAAATACAGAGAAGCGAACTTCACTGATCGCTGCCAAAATCGCAATGCATATGCATTGGGGTTAGATGGACGGGTACTGCTAGGGGTTTCAGCCGCTAGGCAGGAGAACGATTAGAGTTCTCAACCAAAGCCTTTGGTTCTAACAAGAACCTAACCGCAAGGCAGCGGGTGAACCGAATTGGAGGTCCGTTTACTTGTATCAATTACTCCTTTACTATTTTTTACCGGCTGAAACGCAAATTGCAGTCGAACCCCCAACCTAGAGGACTAGGAGGATGGACTTCGTCCGACCTTTATCCTCCAACCTTTCAGACATGATTAGATCTTTGGCTTGACAAAAGCCATCCTGTGTAGCTCGTTCGGGTCAGAGGTGCACAAGCCATCACACCACGTCAAGGTGCAGTCTCTTCGTGATGGATGATAAGTAATGAATTGTCGTTTGTTCTCTATCGGGGCTACTGATTCATGAGATATCCAATGCCTCAGACGTGCTTGGGGCTCAGACCGACAAGGAAAATTCGCTGGGAAATGTATCGTTCGGTTAGTCTGTTCCCAATGCTCATCTATACTATCAGGCTGGGGTGCGCTTAGCTCACGCACTAGCTCTGACTGACAGGGGGTGTATGGGGTACCCGGTAGGAGTAGCACCTCTGACTCAGAGGGCTGTCGGCCCCTTTGGGACATCCTCCGTTCTTTGGTCTCCACTGGGTGCTCAGCTCTCACCTGTGGCTCACAGAAGCTGTTTGGATACAACAGCGGCCACACCCCGGTAAACCGCTCGACAGGCGGGCCAAACCAGGTTGAGGGTAACCGGGAGCTCAAATCCCGGCGAGTCGGTGTCAAACGTACGTGTTTTGCTGACGAAGTCGACTCAGTGGCCGAGACAATGACTCTGTACTCATCAGGGATGCATGGATCTCTGTTCAGCTAACAACTGACAATGGCGTATGAGCCCCCAGAAGGCCACCGGCAATCATGCACTGTCTTCCTGCTGCCTTGCAGTTAGCACTTGGATGTGCAAAGGCTAGAGATGCCAACTCGACCCAAAGCCGGGTGACGCTGGGGACGTTTCCTGAACCGAAGTCCCGAGAAACTCATGGATATTCACCCAACTTGTTTTGCTAATCATGCTACGGCGTTCCCGGGAAGCGACGCGCCCTGTGCTCCTCCAGTGGCCCGGGCGACAAGTATGCGCACTGGACACCTCAAACTATGCAAAACTTCTGACATT